ATATAGACAGACAGACAGATAGATAGATAGATAGATAGATAGATAGACAGACAGACAGATAGATAGACAGACAAACAGACAGACAATCAGACAGACAGACAGACATTATATCCAGGGTTATATCTGGCAGTTCCTCTGTGCCCCCGCGGTCATGCTAATGAAGAGGACACATGCTTAGCATAGGCCAACAGTTGTTGCCTCTCACGGACTATAAATGTTTTTCGCACCCTCACACCGCCTGGGACTCAGAGGCTGTGATGTCACATCCACTTCCTGTATCCCATTACCACCCCCATGTGGTGACTCCTCACAGCATTCAGGCACGGCACATGCTCAGGAACACAGGGTTTAGGTGTTTACACAAAAAAGGTGCCAATAGGAACGCAGTGGGGGTGGAGCCTCAGGGACAAAAATGACATCATCAAGAAACCATGTGCAACGAGTGATCGGGGACAGCTGGTGTCTTTCATTGATCTTCCTGGCCAGCCTTAGATGAGCTCGACGGAGAATCATGGCACTCAGGTCAAAGGTGCCATCATGAGCCTAAGGAGCACCCGTGTTATATTGCTCAGTTGGGAAGTTAAAGCACTTTTCCCAAAACCGGAGATGCAGATATGAACCACACACATCCGATTACACAATTCAAAAAGTCATCAGTGAGATGGAAAAATTTCCAAAAAGAAAACAGAGAAACAGAGTGAAAGAGGAAAAAATATGTCTACTCGAGACGAGGCCAAGAGAGAGGGAAATAAAACTTCTCAGAATATCACAATGGAAAAAAAATCACAGAAACACATAGCTGTACGTATTTGTCTGCCCAGTCCATAGTCACGAAGGCCATATTCACAAACAAGTCGTGAAATTATGATTTTGCTTTGAAACCGTGGTCAGTGTGGCTTCTATTAATGAGACGTGATTCCTAAGTCCTCGGCTCCTCAAAACACTGCAGGCCAGATCACTTTCTGGTGAATGAAGCCAAAGAGACCAGCACAACAATGTCATGTTTCAGAGCCACTCGATTGGGTGGCCGGGACGTCACGGTGCCCCCTAATAAGGGAGCGTCACACAAGCACAGAGTCCTGATTCTTTAGCTGAACCCCCACACCCCGACTCTGGCACTGTGCACCCGACACGTCATCCGTGGGACGTGGCAGGCGGGTATGTGCCCCACGCTCCCTCTCCGCTCATGGGAACACAGGGATGTGGGAAAGCACAGGCAGTGACACTGTGCCACAGAGATGCAGCACACAGGGGTGGTCAGTGGGGGTTCGGTCAACCCCATGAGCCAGACATTCCAGAGGAGGAACTCAGACCAGAAAAGCAAGTGACACCAGGAGCCCCAGGTTGGTTATGCGATATGGATGTGTTGCTGAGGGAGCAAAAATGTGTACTGTCTAGCAGGGAGCTTGGAGGGAGCAAAAACGTGGACCGGCTGTGGGTCCCCGTGGATCGGATTGGGAAAAACTGATCCAGAGGCACCATGCTTCTCATCAGTGGTCCGAATCTCCACCTCCACACCATGATGTCTGCTTCTGCTGACTTGTCACAGTGTCTCACAAAGGCATGCACAAATGTGTCACACACATCCACACCCTCTCACTGTTAGGACAGTGATCTAGCTGACCCGGCTAAATTAGGGATCCTCGGTCGTAAATAGTCTCTTCAATTGTTCTCTCTGCAAGGCACTTTACATATAGTTCACTTTATATACAGCATTGAACATTTCCACTTCCATATTTTATGCTGAAAGCACACAGTGGATATAAAAAATCTACAAAGCTACACAGCCTTAGTGAAATTTCAGATTTATGCAACCACCATCTTCATTTCTATTCATCCTACTCATTATTATTTTTTTTGTTTTGGGTTTCCTTGATTGGAAGATCACATTAAAGACTGAAAAATGTCTGAAACAATTTATTTTGATCTCTTGCTCTACATCACAAAAAATCTTCTGTTTCAGTACGGCCGCGTGGACTTTTAATGCACTGCACATAGGAATTTCTTGGATGAACTGCACCATTGCCTAAAGCATCATAACTAGATAAAGCAACCATTTGACTCTGTTACTGGGTAGATTTAAATATCTTAATAATTCATAATAATTCAATTATTTCAGTGTCTTAACACGATTAAATAAGGAGTCCTTTGAAACTCAGGGATTAGGCGTGTTTGATCTCAGAAGCGCGTTTCACAACGTCGGCGACTTGTGAGTCCTCAGTGCTTGTCGGCTTTATAACGGCAGCGAAACCGTAGGCTTTTCCCCACAAGCATTTTCCCACAAGGAGAAAGGGGGTACGGAGGTGTATATTTAAAAGGGGGGGGGGGTTTCCCGGTAGTCGTGGCTCAACATCTCCACGCAACGTCTGGCCGCCCCCCATTCTCAGACAGCGGTGACTCTTAAGGGATTCTGTTGTTATTAGAATCTGATTATCAGAATAAATATGCCTGGGAACCCAACACTGTGATTATTACCCCTTGGTGGCTTACAGTCCACTGAACGCCTCGATGTTCAAGCCTAACACACCATATTGAATAAAGAAAAACCTAGAAATACACAAACACCATCCAGATAGATCGATAGATAGATAGATAGTGGAGTGGATAGGTTTGTGTGCCTCTGAGATCCTATGTGCTATGTTGTCAGGAGCAATTGCCTCTGGTAGGGTCTCCCAAGGAATGGTGTGCACGATTAGAACCAGACCAGCGCTCTGTTTTTGCATTTCTGTGCCAATTACATTTTGTCCATAACAAACACCATGTTTGAGTATAAGGATGTTCATAAGAGCTCCCTAGGCCACAGTTCCATGATTGATTTTGCAATTGTATTGTTTGATCTGCATCTGCATGTTTTGGACCCTCGGGTGGGCGAAGAGAGGAGCTGAGCTGTCAACTGATCACCACCTGGTGGTGAGTTGGATCCGATGGCGGAAAGATGCTGGATAGACCTGGTAGATTCAAACATATAGCGAAGGTATGCTGGGAGAGTCTGGCAGAGGCTCCAGTCTGGGAGATCTTCAACTTGCACCTCTGGCAGAACTTCTCCTGCATCCTAAGGGAGTCAGGAGACATTGAGCCTGAATGGGCCATGTTCCGGGACTCCATTGCAGAAGTGGCTGTGTGGAGCTGTGGCAGTAAGGTTGTTGGTTGTGGCGGCATTGCCCCAACCTGTTGGTGGACATCGGTGGTAAAGGGAGCTGGCAAAGTGCTGTTAGTTTGTGGGGCTCCTGAATCAGCGGACAGGTACCAGCAGTGGAATGCGGTTCTCGAGGTTACTGAGGCAAAAACTGGGGAGTGGGAGGAGTTTAGTGAGACCATGGAGATGGGCTTTTGGTAGACCCCAGATACATTCTGGGAACCCATCAGGTGGCTCAGGAGGGGAAACCCATGCTGTTTAGGGGAGGGATGGAACTCTGTTGACCTCAAATGGGGATAGTCAGGTGGTGGAAGGAGTAGTTCAAGCACCTCCTGAATTCCACTGATAAGTCTTCATTGGTGAAGGTACAGCTGGAAGACTTGGAGAAGGACTTACCCAACATGGCAGCTGAGATCACTGAAGTAGTCAAAAAACTCTTTGGTGGTAAGGCTCCAGGGGGGGACGAGATTTGTCCTGATTTCTTGAAAGCTCTTGATGTCTTGGCTGACCCCCCTCTTCAACATTGTGTGGAGGTTGTGGGCAGTGACTTTGGATTGGCAGACTGGGATGGTGGTCCCAATCATTAAGAAAGGAGATTGGAGGATGTGTTCCAACTTCAGGGGGATCACACTCCTCAGCCTCCCTGGGAAGGTCTATGCCAGAGTACTGAAGAGGAGGGTCTGTCCGTTGGTCCGTTGGATCCTGGAGGAACAATGTGGATTTTGTCCTGATCACAGAATGCTGGACCAGCTCTTCACCCTCAAAAAAACACTGGAGGGTTCATGGGAGTTTGCCCAACCAGTCTACAGTACATGTGTTTCGTGGACTTGGAAATGGCATACGACCAAGGGGGTCCTTTGGGGGGTGATTCAGAAGTATGGGGTCCACTGTTGCGGGCCATCAGATCCCTGTATAAACTAAGTTTAGTTCGTATTGCCTGTAATAAGTCAGACTAGTTCCCGATTCTAGGTGCCTGGGGGTCCGATTTGGTGGCCTCAGGATTGTATCTTTGCTTATTGCAGATGACGTGGTCCTGTTGGCTTCATCGGGCTGTGACCTGCAGCAGGCACTGGGGCGGACGGCAGCTGAGTGTGATGCGACTGGAAGGAGGATCAGCACCTCCGAGTCTGAGGTCATGGTTCTTAACCAGAAAAGGGTGGATTGCCCTCTCCTGGTGGGGGGATGAGTTACTGCAGCATGTGGAGGACTTTAAGTTTCTCAGGGTCTTGTTCAGGAGTGAGAGAAGAAGGGAGCTGGAGATCGACAGGCGGATTGGTGCAGCATGGGCAGTACTGATAGTAGTAATGGATAGATAGATAGATAGATAGATAGATAGATAGATAGATAGATAGATAGATAGATAGATTGATTGATTGATTGATTGATTGATTGATTGATTGATTGATTGAAGAGACCAGGCGACAAGAGCACTTCAGGACCGGTTTGCGTGGCCTAGCTTTGACATGCGCATTGTCACGAAGCGTCGTCCCGTAAGTGCATCCCTCGCGCGGCGTGCTGTCATAAATGCACAGCGCAAATGGAGCCGCGCCAGTGCATAATCGCTTTTGCATTAGGACCTTACAAAATCCACCCCGCCTCGGGCAATTGTAATACTATAGAGAATTCTTATTCTAATTTATTATAATCTATCCCAGAATTTGCATCTGTCGTTTAGCGGGCGAGAAAACAGCAATATACTTGTGCATTTTCACAATTATGTAAGTCGGCGCTTTACTGGCTTGCTTACAATTATAGCAATTAACCTCAAGTAACTGATTTGAGATGGCAGAAGTAAACAACAGCACAGCAACTTGAATAAAACATAAGAAAATATCACTGATTTCTTACTAATGTACAGCCGTACCTGTGTATCCAGCATCATCATCATCTCGGATTCATATCCCCGTCCAAGTCTTTCTCCGGGCGGTTCACGGCGAGCCGAGGAATCCTCTTATAACCGGCCTGCGCGCATTTTGAGCGATAGATCCGAAAATGCACGGGCAGCCTTTTGGGAATGTGTCGGATTCCTGTAAACTGTGCTGTATCTGTCCAAGAACCGCGCGGCACTGGGAAACCTTCAGGGAACAACAGCTGCATCCAGTTGTATGTCATCAATCCCACATATGCCAAGCATCAATCAGTTAAAAAAAATTATAATAATGTTATATCAGAGAAACAATCGGAATGATTTCCCTTCCCCCAAAACCAAGATCTTCTATTCGCCAACGAAAACACGAAAGCTTTTCTTTTTTTCTTTTTTTTTACAAAGAAAGGGTCGCTACATATGGAATCCATTTAAATAGATAACCCGACCATGCCATAATCCCTGGCGATACGGAGGGAGGGGTTATTGATAAAAAAAAATAAGTCAAATGAACAGATCAAACCGATATATTTCAACGTTTAAAAGACGGGGGTGAATAATAAAAGATACAAGCTGTCATTCGTGCCCCCAAGACGAGGTACGTAGTGGAGGAATCCCATCATCTTAAGCACAATTGTCATCGAGAGTCATTTAGCAACTTTAACGATTAAAAACCTTTTAAAATGAAAAGTTGTCCTTTAATTTCAGAAACTAAAAAAATTCCATCTTGAAAATTCATCAACATCAAAGATCCCGAAATGAAAAAGACCACTAATTAGAATATGCACCATACTTGTCTTCAATGATAGCTGGGCGAACCAGGTGTGAACTTCTCTTGGCCCAAGAACATGTCTCATATATTTTCATTCTAATACATGTTTTATGAAAGCAAATCGCAAACAGGGTTTTTACTGAGAAATGTCACTGAAGGAGAACTCCCATAAAATAGACGGCACCTACAGACTATTTTCTTCAGACTCTCACGATGGCAAAAAATGCGTGCAAAAGGCCCTACGTTCGTTTTTAGGTGTTGTTTTAATATACCCGAGTCCTGAAAAAACAGGAGGAATCGAAATTTTACGTTTTATATGAGAATCGCTCAGAAATCCAGATTTCTGGGTCGTCTCCCATTTCAATTCAACATCCCGTTTCTTTCTTGTCAGCGATTATTGATTAAAATGTTGCAATCGCTCAAATCTCTCGTATTGCCGTTTACTCATGTTTACTCAATTTTACCGCTTCAAAAAACGACAGTTTTACTGTATCGTTGCTATAAATATCTCAGTTTTCTCTCAAAATATTCTCCAGTGACAAAATGGACGATCCCACATATGTCTCGTTGTCTTTGAAATAATGTTCTGCTTTAGGATTATATTTTCCAGAAAATGTGCAATCCATGCCTGTCGCTTATTTTTAAAATCTCCTCTCTTCAGGTGTTGATTGCTGCTTGAGGATAAAAAAAACCTTGGGAAATAGCAAGGTTGAAACGGAGGTCCTGCCCGCAGAGGGACAAAGCATTTAAATAGGCGAAGGGAAAGATCGTGGAGACGACGAGGAAAAACAAAACGACATCAGGAAATAAAAAAGCACAAAGAAAATGATGAAGTAAGGGCTCTCAGTCGGAACAGCCCTCGGCAGTCCTCGGGGATGTTGAAGGGACCGCGCCTGGTGTCTGACGGCAGTGTACACCGACCCGAGCGGGTGGGCGATGTGACGGACTCGGTCCTCTCGATGCTAAGGCAGCAGAGAAGCCGCCCCCTCTCGGCGTCTCGGCTTTCTGGATGCTCCCCCATCACCTCCCCCGACGGGACTGCCATTTAGTCGCTCTCTACCAAAGGGCTCTCAAGGAGATGGAGGAAGGCGAAATTAGTGTTGCACAATTGCAGATTTGACCACTCTTTAAAACTAACGGTTTGCATATGACAAAGCTAGTCTGCTTAGATCCTGACCCCAGACAAAAAAGCAAAGACGTGTTGGTGCTTGTATTATATTTTATTGTTATTATTTAACTGAACTTAAACACAAATGAAGATAAAAACATTTTGAAGCCACACAAAGCAGATGCAGTTTTGCAGAACAAATTCACAGCTGTAAATTCTGCAGTGAGACGAAGCGGCCACCCTGCTTTCTCAGGCCTTCCGTGTCAGACCCACATGTTAAATCTAAGCAAATCATTCCCACACTCAGCACAGACAATGGCAGAAAGCACAATTAAGCCTGATGTTAAGTGATCGATACAGGTTGACTCTCATTTTGTGTTCCACATTAAACGTGCCAACTCGGCCAGGATACTATAGCCTGGAGCTGTGGAAATAGTGCGACCTTGAATAACCAAGGCACACAGGACACACCTGAATGCACGGCCACCCCCATCCTACGTGTGGGGGGGTTTGGCAGTTGGGCCGCCCCCAAGGAGGTGTTCATGTGAAGGCGGCAAGATGCCTTATTAAGCACCTCTGGTTCGTCTCCTACATTTCGCTCCCTCGCATAAAAACTGAAGCCACGAAGCCTTGGGCAGGATTATTAAAACGTGGCACCGTACAGCATGCAGTTATGTCACAAATGTCAGCCTCATAAATGGTTTTTCTTCGAGCACCATTACAAAATACAGAGCAACCCTTATTATTCTGGATGCAAGTATAAAGGGTTTTTTTTTTTTGTTTTTTTGTTTAACTAAGCAGCTGTCTTTTGGTCTCCAGTAAACAGGGAACCTTCAAGAATTAAGTCATCTTGCAGCTCTACATATTTACATTTTTAAGAATTACAATAAGACATCTTCTTTGTTATAATTTTCCAGACATGAATATTTCATGTGACATAATCAGCCATCACTCTGGATTCCATAGTTTAATTTTAGGCTATCCACCTTTTCTATTTAAACATCAAAGACCAAGCATCCATATAATGAATGTAACACTTTTCCACTTTTAGATGTATCTACATAACGTTTTATGCAGAAAAAATTAGAAACTAGAAAATGATTGGGCTCAAGTAAAATATGTAGATAAGTAAAGAAAACAACTGTTAAGAGAATATCTAACTTTCACTCTCTAAAAATGATTAGCTAAAAGCCTATTAGGATGGGATGTGACATGTTAATTTTGTTTAACGTATTTTCCAGTATCATGTAAATGGTCTGTATCTCCCAGGTTGGAAAAAGACAAAGCTGAAGGTTTGATTTCATAACAACAAATGTTATTGTGCAATTTTCCTTCCGTTCTGTATGTGTAAGCAAACTATGCAAATATCCCAAATGTCATAGAACAAGACAATGGATTTTAAGATGCCAGTCGTCTTTTTAAAAAGGCCACCATTAAGACAATGAATACTTTATAAGGCATCATGGCAATTTTAGACTACATCGTGGCATTCTGACAAATTTGAACCAAATACATAGGGTTGTACAACATGGTTCTTTGTAAAGTAAGTGAATCACTGAACACTTTTGAATAAAATGTTCAGTAACTGCAATGAAGGTAAAATTACATGCAATAATGAAAGTTTGAATGGCTGCAGGCCTCTGGTGGATTTGGAGGAGAGGTTGCCATGGAAACAGACATCTGAAGGCTATGCATCATGAGTCTGACCTACTGCCTGTGCCTTTAACATGTCTTAGCATGTTAAAGCAGAGACTGGAGGGGGAGATAAAGACTGATGAAGAGGGGAGAGAGTGCAGAGAAGGGTTTTCTGAAGAAGCACAGGATGAAGGGGGAACGTAAGAGCAAGGGACTGTGAGAGAGCACTGGAAGAGTTCACTGGGTTCACTGTACGAGGGAGGGAGGGAGGGAGGAAGGAGTGCAGAGCGGAAAGGAGATGGATGAGCAGAGAGAGAGAGAGAGCAGAATAAAAAGAGGCCCAAGGAAGAGGCGACGGACTGGAGCCTGAGAAGGGACATGGGATTCTTTCTGTAACTATGCTAATGAGACCGGGGGGGAGGGTGTGAGACAGGGGTGGGACACGTACCTCATTTTGTTGTACTTTGGGCTCCAGAGATACTCAGCTTTAGCAGTCCAGTACTTTAGCTTAAGACCATGAAGTCGAGGGTTGGGGGTTAGTTTAGTGTAGGGTTACTCACCTAGTCTCAGCCACTGGGCTTGACGCAATTCAAGCATTATTTACTGTTGCATCAGATAATTCAGGCCTATATGACACAGCACAAATGTGTAATTAAAAACCTTTCAACGGGGAAGTATTATTTTTAAAGGAAAGTATCAAAGATCTGTTACACTTTTTATTGGTGTCATTCAAACTCGCAATAGAAAAAACAGGCCGGAGTAATTCATTTGTTAGTCCAGAGAATTTATTGTGCTTTTGCAAACAGTATAGAAATCTGTATTGTGTGTGATATCATTAGATGCACTTGGGGGGGGGGTGGGGGTGGAGTTATAGTGTTTTTCCAGAATAAAAATATGTTCAGTTGCAGGGGCTTTTCTCCCCCAGAAAATTACTTTGTTAAAATTTAATGTGTTAATTGTTTGTTAATTGGGCTGCTCTCCCCATTTCTGGCATTGTTTATGGAGACCTGAATGGTCTGCTGCTTCCACAAATGGTGCTCAGGACCCTGCCTCCTTAGCACCTGCTAGCTCTTTTCTGCAGCCCATCCCTGCACTATGGAGAAGAGCCCTCAGTACTGCCCCCTGCTGTCAGGATGCCCTCCCCTCTACTATCAAGTGCATCATCAGCTATCCGATATTAGGTGGACTTAGCCTGCTAACAGATAGCTAACTATTTTTGCTACATTAGCAAACTTTTCTGCTAATTAAAATCCAATAATTCACATAATTAGAAACATACTATATGTTTCCCACTATATTTCTTGTTTTGTATATTCATTTAAATTCCGGCCCATTTAGGCTAAACGTCTAAGGATATCAGAAGGTTTTTTGCTGCTCATTGGAAGTGTTCAAATTACTGTAAATTAGTAATTAATTACAGTTACTAGTTACTTCATGCAAAAGTAATTCAATTACTGCATATAAGAGGAAATTAATTACTAGGGAAAGTAACTTTCATGTTACTTCAATTCTCTTATTAAAGGATACACACCCAGACAGCACATATGCGTTGCCAGGAGATCAGAATGTCAATAAGTGATCGCTTTCCATTTAAACCTATAATCAATCTTTAAATTATTACATAAGCTAATTTGTGTTTCAGAAAGCACATTTTTTCCAGTAGTTTTGCTTTAATCAGTTCAGCATAACTGTTAGGCCTATTGTTACTTTTCTGTCATGTTGTCAATATTTAAAATAATAAAAATCAGTTAATCAGTCTGTGTGGTATATGGTTTCAAACAGTTTGCCTACATACGGGGTAAACAGAACAAATGTACCCTACAGTATATACATATATACAGTATATAGTATAACCCTATTGTGGGTTATATAGCCTTATTAGGAAAAATTATAGTAAGCTAAGTATCGCATAGTGATCACATTAACATCATGTTCCTGATGAAATACATCGTACAGACATCAGTGGAATGTCGAATCAATATTCAGTAGCCATGTCTTTGTAGCAGAGAAATTCTTTGCTGATGGATTTTCAAGCATCGTGGAGACATCATGCCAACGCATGTGTACTGTCTGGGGTACTTATATTACTTTAGGTGACAGTGAGGGCAATACAACTGTCAAATGTTATCTATCACTGTACCGAGTATTTTGTGTTTGCAAGGCAGGTTATTTGCATAACCAATTGACAATAAACACGTCTGCAAGTCCCACCCTAAAGTACCAAAAAAAGTACCCAAGCTGGTTTGGTACTTTTGGTACTGCTACCTGACTGGAAATCAGATAGGAAAATTACAATTTTTTTGTACTGAAGTACAGCAGGCCTACCTGGTGCAGTGCAAAAGTGGGGCATGATTACCTAGGACACTCCTCTTCAGAACATCTGCCTCTGTTGTAGACAAACATCCCTCAAAAACCATTAGGGACATGGGTCTAGACCCACTGGCATCACGAGGGTCATCACGCCCCACAAGTCAGCCAAATGACACTCTGGGAAAATATCTTTCTACTAGGCCCACTGCAAAAGACGCGATCAAACAACCCCTAGGGATCATCACACGTCAGCTGCGGCCTGAACTTCCTCCTCATACTCTGTCCTCTGTAAGAATACACCCAGACACCATAAAAAACCTTGTAACAATAGGAAACAGCTGGGCTCTGTGTACAAACCTTTCAGACTAAGACCTCAATATCCGCTACTGTTTTATAATAACCCTGCCCTCACTGTAACCTGTTTAACTCACACTCCCTTAGCTTGGCTTGCTAACCAAGTGGAGAAAAGATTTATATTAGACTCCTCCCCCATCCACATACAATCAGAAAAGTGCATTGAGGTCCTGTGACAGAAAACACATACTGTATTGATTAAAGACACATTTTCCCCTCCGACAAAATCCACTTTGGACACTGCTCTAATATCTCCCTCTTCAGTGTGACTTACCTCATAAGTATCGCTTCTTCGTTTGCATAATAAGTCACAGGCCCCGCCTCCCACCCATGAAGTCAGCCAATCAGAAGCTAGCTCCTTCAACAAGGCTGCAAGCAGGTTTACGGCACTAAAACAAGATGACTCCCAAAACAATGTCAGAAACAGGTTTTGGGACTGTGTAAGGAGCATTTATTATAGGACAGAGTGGAAGAGGCAGAGACGATGGTCGCACTGACTTCCTTCAATGGGAGCAAGTGGGTTAGAAGGAAAGGGGTGATCCAGCCATTGGAATCGATGCCCATTTAAACAACTAGCGTTTTGTTGGCCTTCGGGGGAAAATGGCACTGTGACAAAAACGAGATAACTGGCTTAACAAACAGTCATTCAGAACAGCCACATTCAACACAGAAACACATTCTGTTATACTGTTGCACTGGTGTAGCTCATGTTTTTGCTACATAAGTATAGGGGGAGTAGCGGAAAAATATTGGAGAGAAATCTGACATTGTGTTTGGCATGTTCAACTTTGTGTGGGTATCAGGGCATCTTAATGACAACCGTAATGCACACTTCACGACACAGATGTTCCATAGCTGCGGGACAAAATTAGCAGCTCAACAGGATAGAGATACCATGACCAACAGCATCCAGGTGCATGAGTGCCAGCACTCCAGATTTAGGGGGCGGACATCCTTGGCCAAGGTCATCTTCTAGCCTTGACTAGACACAGGCCATGAGTGAAACCCTCCCAAAAACTTCCTCCCATAAGGAGCAGATGGCTGTTAGTAGGTGGGAGGTAGTAACCAATCCATGATAGATTTGTATGTTTGTTTCCCCAAGAGAGAGGCTCCTGGAGGGAAGAGATGATCCGTTGCTCATTGTCCAAACCGCTGCCAATAACGCTAAAGGCCTTCAGAGGGAGGCTGGAGGAGAGGGCAGGCCTGATGGAGGCCTACACAGAAGGGGGAAAAGAAGAAGGGCAAAGAACAAAGCTGGAGCCAATGAGACTCAAATAACTAGGTTATTTCCTGGAGACACAAGCACAGCCACACTTGCATCTGGGAGTTTTCATTCTTTCTGTGCAGACTAAATGGGTATGGGGGAATTATTGCTGCCAGTTATTCATCCACAAAATAATGTCTAATGTCTCTAACCTGCTTCAACGAGCACTCCGGCAAGTCCGAGCCTATGCATGCACAAGGATCTATGCCTCTCCACCAGCAATCCAACCCAAGAGCCCCACAGCGTATCCTTTCACCCAAGGTGAGGGCACTGCACAAACGAGAGCGCCCAATCTCACTGATCCGCTGTTAGGTCCCGGCTCAGCTTTCGCTCAAAGCAGCCCAATGAACATGGTTAACAAACCATGCAGGAAGTGGCTGGAAATTAATCAAATCCCAGCACTGCATGACAGGCTCAGAGTTCTGTTCCTGCTTTGTGGGATATAAACTCTACTGGCAGAGGCATGCTCCTATGAATATTCATAACCAGTGAGACAGTCACTCACTTGGCTCCTAGTGTAATTGTTATTGCTATGCTTGTAATTGCAGTAACTGCCAATCATTTCTGCAGGCGAGCGGGACCTGTGACAGAGCCAGACCAAGCATGAAAATTCATGAAGAATATTTGGCATCGCCACTTATACAGACATGGAAATGGTAAATCTGAAACTGTGCCATCCTCCAGTACAGGGATGCCCGGCGACGTGCAAGGAATGGGGAACAAACCCATTCATTCACATGATCACATGCTACACTGCATGCAGTCGTACAGGCACTGCTGGGAGGCAGAGCTTGGAGGAGTAGCGGGTTTCAGACTGTGACTACTATATACCTGCACCTTTGTTAACCACTGGTACCATATGACAACATGGGGGCCAGGCATTGATGCCCCCCCACCGGCTTGCCAGACTTAGGGTTAGGCTTGCATTTCAATATATGCTGTTGGATGGTCTTCCTCTTCAGTTCTGTGACAAAAAAAATGTATACAGTGTAGATATTTGGTAGACCAGGCTGCTGGAAAAAGACATGTGTAAGACACCAAGCTTACAAATACAAATAATTTAATAGGAAGACTTTCATAGGAGTGGTACAAAGAATCATCTTATGAAAAAGTGCATTCCTACTCTTCCCAATAGAGGGAGCGCTTGTGTTCAGAATTCAGACAAGCAATAGATCTGTTTACAGCTCCTCATTTGGCCAAGACATTAGGTCAGCTAACACAAGACAGCATGTCAATATCCATATAACAGGGTTATTCAAATCACGGTCCTCGAGTTCCGAGCACTGCTGGTTTTCCAGCCTTCCTTTACCTGTCAGTCAGGTGTGACCAATCAGAATCAGTAATTATTAAACTAACTACCTGGGAGAACTGAAAACAAGGCCTGGATTTGGAATCGAGGTCCATATTTGAAGAACCCTGCCATATAAAAAACACTTCAGCTTTTGCAATGTGAAGTCGCAGGGTTCAAGAGAATTGCTCCTTCCATGCCCTTCTATGACTGGATTTTAAACTATTTTAAACTATTATCTTCTCAGCATGAGGTCCAAAGGAAAATCTCCATGCCAATGTAATACTACAGAATCCCAACAATCCTCTATTTCCCCTATAACTGGCATCAAGATGCACATTCCTTAATAATGTATTAGTTATGTTTCTTAAACACTCAAGCTAAGTTAGTGAGAATTAATTTGCTATAGAAACATTTCATTAAAAATCATATCAGTGAACATTTCATTATAAACCATATCAGTGACACAACTATCATTACCAGGGTTCATAGCCAAATGTTAACATTTCTGACAATGTTTGCTTAAAATGTATAATATGAGCATTAAGTGACCTTGTTTATTGTAATGAAAAAGCATAGGCAATTCTGAAATTTGGAAATCACATTTCAGAAGAACTATCCTCGCATTTATTTGGTCCTATCATACTACTGTTTATCATTGACATCGTGCTTATTCTGATTGTTTTAAGTTTTTACATTTTCAAGGCTTCGCTGTACAAATAGACACCTTGAGTCAGACCCTCCATGTGGCGAGAGAGATGACACTTCAGGGTGGTGCACGCCCCAGGACGGACGTCTCTGACTGTCGCAGGGAGTCCACTCCCAGAATTCACTGGGGCATCAAAGCTGTCGCTGTCACCGGCATTGCAGTGTCCTCGCTACGCACCGTCCTGCAGCTCTGTGGCCCTCCTGAGGATGGTGTGCACATCCGAGATGGGATAGTCCTGTGGACAGACTCAGTCAGAGACAGAAACACGGTCCCAACCATGATCTGATGCATGTCAGAGATAAACTTCTGATTGGGTAACAATGTGTCATTAGACAAGGAGAAAACACACAGTTCTTGGGATATAAACCTAAACTTTTTTTTACTACAAACTCACTTCCTGAACCAATGCGCCCCCTGCTGCCTGACAGTTGACTTACAAGTATACAAGAAGACTCCACCGTATCTGCGGCAGGACTGGATCGGCGGCGCTGTCGCCTCACACCTCCAGATTTGGGAGTTCAAATGCTACCACTGTGCTGTATATGTGGAGTTTGCATGATCTTCTTGTGCTTCTGCAGTCCTAAGACACGCAGTTAAAGCTAAATGGTGTCTAATCTCTTGGCCTGCTATGAACTGGCATCTCATCCCAGCCTTGTGATCTGTGCCCCCCTTCCCCCGTAACCCTCACCAGAATAAGCATTTGGAAGATGGATGGACCTGTAGCCTTGGGCACAAAGTTAGTAACATGAGTGGATTGGAGTTGCATGCAGAATGTCCAGGCACATGGCTGTCAGTTTTTTTGTGTTTTACCCGATATAAAATCCTTTCAGGGCTCCCCTCCCCCATGTAACAAAAACACTTGTTACCTGCAGCAATCTCATGTTGGCTGTGAAGTCTCCACGCAGCAGCTGGTCCCGAATCAGGCTGAAGAAAATAAAAATGAAAATAATAAATTAGAGAATGGTTACAGAACAAAGAAACAGGTACAGGTGTGTTAAATCTCGTTCTGTGGCTGAATCCCTCAGAGTCTCACGCCGGGCAGCCCTATTGCCAACATTTTCAAACATGTTTTGGCTGCAGACCCTTATGCTAATATGAGATTTTGGTCTCCATCCTGAATAGTTACGGGGGTACGAAGGCCCATAGCAATCCAAAAGGTATAAACACTAAATAAGTACTCCAGTCATTATGCAACTCGTCATTCTCGTGCAGGTTGTAAAGAATCAAAAGGGCTCAGGGTGTCACTTGTAGTGCTTTTCCACTGACAGAGAACCGGTTCCGTTCCAGTTTGTGAACCTATTTTTGAACAGTTCTGTGAGTTTCTAACCAAAAAAAAAAGAGTCTGAATCAAAAAACCTGTTCGCGTTGACAACCAGGAAATAGTTGGATCCTGAATGGGAACCGTAATGACATCATGAGTGGGCATGTAGCAATCTACCTACAGGCGTGACACAAACATGCAGCGGTGGAGAATGTAGTCAGCTTTCATACTTAAGCAAAAGTACAGATACTACACCAAAATGTTACTCAAATAAAAGATTAGTGGAATGACGTTACATTGTTTTTTATTCGTTTGCGAGTAAAAGATCGATCCATGTGCCGGATTTAATAATTAATTATGAACATGTCACAGCCTGGTACTTTCAGATCTCTTATAAGTAATAATTAATCTGACAAAATCCATCGTCATCATCCTGGGTGGAGTCAGCACCGATTTTGGGGCGGGGCTTTGGAATGAGGGCAGGCTCATACATCAACATGGCACAGCAGACCAGGATGAGGAAGTCGAAGCGGTCCTGGTTTGAGAAGAGGGTGTCCCAGATACGGATCACGTCTGGCAGCAGGAACTCCTGGGAGAGCAGTAGGGTCAGCCAGCGGAAGGTGAAGTACTGTGGCTTGATGTTCTGCTCTTGCTGATGAGAATTAAAAAAAAAAAATCATACACCCTTACAAATAATTGTTTAATCATTTCTTCTATATGTATATGCCTTCCAGTACCAAGTCTATTCTCAGCCACAAAGTACAAAGAAAAAAGCCTCTGAATATTAGATGTTTATAAAACAAGGTGTGGTAGGTTGATCTTAACAGGATTATCGGATTTAAGCCCAAAGCTCACATACAAGGGAGGGAACTGAGACCATTCACAAGATAAACACAAAACAGAAAAACATGAAGAAGAATCGCCCGATACTGTGTACTGGACCTGTGTACTGGACCTGTGTACTGGACCTGTGTACTGGACCTGACCTTCTGAACAAGGTTAACAATAGCTTGTTAAGGCTATGTAACAGTTGATATACTAAGGATTTTATCCAAAGTCACATTCCTTTGTCCATTCATACAGCCGGACATTTTATTGCTACTGACCAGCTTGTGGTAGAGCTCCGCGTCCTTCTCCTTGAGGGTGGAGTAGACACTCTCCATCCTGAAGGTAATGCCGCAGTGGGAGTCATCTAGGGTCTGGATGAAGTTGTCCCTGTTCTCAGACATCAGGTTGGTGAAGCAGAAGAAGGTGTCGGCCTCAGCATGCTCTGGGGGGGGGGGGGGGGGGGGGAGTGTGGGGGTCACCACATAGAGGGCTGGTAAGACTGTGACCTTTCAGCCACCCCCAAAGACTACTGGGAAACCATTTGAGGTTTCACATCAGTGATTCACAGGACCAAGAAACACAGACCACCCATCATATTGTAACAAACTTACCACTTGTTCATTGCCTCTTCGGAAGTCATACAAATTATTATGTTAAACGAGCAGCAAAATGAGCATATTTCAACTGCTGGTCAGAGGTGAATTGGCATCATCCTGTCAGTAGGGGGCAGCAAAGCTGCTTTCAGCGACAGCATGTTCATTACAGGCAACAGTCGTTAAAGAACAAGCAGCGCCGCCTGACACTGTACACACGTCACGCTTTGGGCCTCTTTGGGATGCAGGGACACTGTCACCTATCATTAATACTCCAAAACCCTGAGCATCTTTACACACTCCTCTGGATTCGCAGGGTTTTGCGTAATCGATACAATCAAACCAAACATGCTTTCCTCCTGAAGTACAAATAAGCTTTGAGAATTAAGATGAGGATGTTTTCATCTAAACCTTCCTTCCCACTTACCAAGGATCTTGTTATTAACAGAACCACCCATATGACGTAATATAATATGATACATTTTGAATTAAATAACATTATAACGTGGACAAATGCAGAAAATCCCCCCCCCCCCCTCCTCTCTCCTCTTTTTCCAGAATCTTTCAGAGAAATTGAGTTATTCGGAGATTCTCAAAGGCTTCTTCCTTGAGCAAACAAAAAAGTGCACGAACGTCATCCTAGATCAGTTTGAAGCAGGAAAGCTGCCAGACTCACCCTTCCACTCCCTGTTGGGGTCTGTGGCAAAGGTGTAGTAAAGAGGGCCCACGACCTCATTCATGCCCTGCACGTAGGCGATGCCCGGGTTCAACTTGGCGTAGACAAAGAGGACACGCTCCACCACCTCCCAGTGGGCCTCACTGCCAGGGGGGAGAACCTCATACTCGCTAGATGGGTTCGGCCCGTGAACCCGAGCTGGGGGACTCACCTGGATCCGGGGGGAGGGATCAGACCTGTCATACTCAGGACCGAGGCCTCGCAGAAAACATGACGTCTGCACAAAGTAGCCCGCCACCCCCGTCAAACAAAACAACTTACAAAAAACTCAGCAGCCGAGGGTTAAAATTAATCTCCTGACCCATTCAAAACACGGGGGTTTTACTTACAAAGGTCCCAAATCGGATTAACTGACCCAGTTTGTACACAACCATTCAGATGGTCGAGAGCAGGTTCACATACTTTGGCTCTCTGCAGGTCAGCTTTTGTAATATTATGTTATGTCCTCCTTCATTATTTTTTCAACAAGCAGAAATCCAAAGGATCTAGAGACCAGGCTATTCTGCAGTTTCATCTGTGACATTGAGCATTGCCATTATCCACACACAGCACTAGCTGATTAGTTTTTTTCTGATGGTTGTGAAAACGGTCTTTCTGTATCAGATGGTCAATGCAATGATTACAGTGGTCTGTTATCTAACCTCGAGAGCCCACAAAACATGACTGCTGGTCACATCCAAATTAATGTTAATGTTTAGCTTATATAGAAGAAAGGCCATTTCTGAGAGGCCTGACTTAAGCCCAACGAGTCAACGTACAACTCACTCACGTTCGTGACTCCTCGCCGGTTGCGGTTTACGGTCTGGGCCTTGAGGGTGGTCTGCTCCACACGGCTCCGTAACGTTTCGTAATCGTTCTGGGGGTCCAAGATGAGTTTGCAAGGGTGCTCCGTGGGACTCTGGAAGAAGGAGATATCCGGACACAAGCGTCTGCAAAATTGGGCAGGAGAGAGACTCTCATTAGCTGCCGTCTTCATTTTGGACCAAAGTGGAGTGGAGTCTTTATGTAATATATAGGACAGAATAATACCCAGCTGTAAAAAGGGCTAAAATTAAGTAGCTTTGTATGAAAGCATCAGCTAAGCAAAACAAGAACAAAAGATTATGAACAGGAACAGAAAGAGTGAGAAGAATTGTATGTTTGCCGGCATAATGTCAGTGGAAGAAAATGGGGGGAAAAAACCCCCCAAACCTCTTACCACCTCCATAGTCTCCAGTCATAACTGTGTCAGCAATGACCTTGAATGTTCTGCTCACCTGACGTCTTTATCGATCTGCAGAAGAATCTCATTGTCCTTGAAGTAGCTGTTCCACCGACTGTCTGGGTTGGGGTTTAATGGCTACATACGACAGAAAAGGAGCAAGAGAGAATCTTGGGCTCATGCACAGGACACAGCCTAGTGTTGAAACCAAAAATACCATGATATTCCTGATTTATTCTTCATTGGGGAATGTTCTTCACCTCTAATGTTCCATCTCTCACTCTCTCACTCACTCACGCATACGCTGTTTATTTATAGTGGTGTCATATTCTGTTATTGTTCGTTGCTATAATTATTGTCTTAGTTATTTTTATTTGGCACGATAGTCTGCAAGAATTTCATTGTTTGCAACTGTGGATAAAAAAAAATTGAATGGTGAGAAATATTCTGATTTTCATAGATAACGGAACTAGGTGGGTGGACTAAGACCGGGGGGTGAGGGGTGAGGGGTGAGGGGTGAGGGCTCCTACGTGGTCATGCAAAGTCACATCCTCTCTGGAGAAGCCCAGGTTGGCCTTGGCGATGCCTGGCTGAATGATCATCTCCTTCAGGAACAGGGTATACAGCTCCCTGCATGGGCACATGCCACCACATACATCTCCGTGGGTCAAAGCAAACCACTCAAGCTAACGGTGATGCACGTCTTCATGCTTATCGTACCTCTGCTTCTTCAGGAAGGAATCCCATACCGCCCGTTCCAATGGAAGGTAATTCAGTAAAAGCTGAAGGTGATAAAGGCAGGTTGTCAGGGTCCATAAAAAGCTTCTGAGGAATGAGTACTGAGGAATTTTTGCTTAACAGCATACAAAACTCCATCCATCCATTTTCTGTAACTGCTTGGCCTGTACATGGTCGCGGGGGGGCTGGCAGGGAACAACCCAGGATGGAGCAGCAACCCATCGCAAAGCATACAAAGCCTTAATATCAAAATAAAAAGTAATTTGGTGATCCGTGGTCATTGTTGACACACCACAGCACACGGTGCACAACAACTAAATGTGTTCTCTGCATTTAACCCATATGTGACAATGTGACATAGCAGGGGGCAGCTAATTCAGCGCCCGGGGAGCAGTGCTTGGGGGTGGTACCATGCTCAGGGTACCTCAGTGCTGCCTTGCTGGTCGGGGATTCGAACCTGCAATCTTTCAATTACAAGTGCGCTTCCCTAAGCATTAAACCACCACTGCCCACAAGGAACATGATCTCTCAATTCTTAACACAATTGTCAAATTGATAACAATAAATCGGTGTATTATACACATGAATGTAGTGGAGATTTCACAACCACTGCGGACAGGGATTCTGTCTGGTTTGTTCACCAAAAGTAGCTCTCAGATTTACTGGGGAGAGTCGGGAGGACAAGAGTTTACAAAGAGGACAAGCTCTGGGGTGATGAATGGGGCTCACCTTCCAGCACTGGGCGCGGATCCCTCCCTCAAAGGGGATTCCTGTCGCAGGAAGACAGACCAGGAGTGAAAAACAAGAGGGGAAACAAAAAAAGAGGCTGAACAGGAAACCAAATGCAGGAGCTTCCTGTTAAAAATGCATAATTTCCGGTTAAGTTTCACGTAGATGGCACAAACTCAGAACGCACTCAATCATTCACTAAGTCTTTTCTAAAAAGCATAATTTAGCTGAGGTACCATTAAACAAACTAGTGTGCACATGACTTGCAAGTTTCAGTAAATTGCTCACCATTGAAGCACAGTTCACGGAGTGCCTTTAAATTGATCTTCTCTTCAGTCAAAGCTGCATTGAATTCCTGAATCCTGAATCAAATGGGCAATAAATTAGGATGGGACAGTATCATCACGGGACATTTGACCTTCTTATGTTTAATACTTTATAAAAACGTTGGACAACCAAGCGGTTTCCCAAGGACACCATCTTCGTTTGTGGAAAATCAAAGAGCATATAAGGGGAGCATGGCGGAGGGGGGAGGTATGGACGGAAACCGAAAACATCTGGAGCGCTTTAAACAGACAAAGGCGGGCAAGTTCAAAAGCAGAGTCACCAAGGAAGGACACAATCCCAGAATGCCTCACTCACTTGCTGAACCAGGGTGGGGCTGTGGTAATGCATTAGGCTAAGATCTACCAGTGGCACAAGGTTACCAAACAGTACCCATTCTAGTCAGTAGTTTAAGTACTAACCCTTTTGGCATAAAACTAGCTACTAAATAAGTCAGTTTAGCAGGGACAGCAGACAATGGTGCTAAGGGGAAAGTAACCCCTGTGCTGGAATTTCCTTCTTTCATCGGCTGTCAGTCAAACTGAGCTACGCCGGATGAAATTACTGCTGGACAGGGTGGCTGAAAGCCACCTCAGATAAACAACATGGAGCCCCTTCTCTGCACGTGCGGGGGGCTCTGCCCAGAACTGCTCAGACACAGGGCTGAATCTTTAGAGATGAAAAACCCGCTTATTTTTATTTATTTTTATAAAAACCACTCCCTGCTCACAAGACAAGGCTGCTGATATCAGCAAAATAAACCCACTGTATAGATGTCCTTGTTGAAAAGTAGCTTCCTTCTAAAGTTTAAACATTACAGTAGATTACCTTCGTAGTGAATGTGCCTTTTGGTCTTATTAGTGTTAACAATTAACTTTAATTTAGCTAAACTGGCCACACGATCGACTGAAAACACAAAATGGGGCATGAGGGCAAAAGACCAGAGAATAAAAACTTTACTAGGTGTAAACTGGTAACTGTTATGTTGGGAAACATATTCTAAATTGTGTAACAGGGCATTTACAAGGGCAATAGAAGCTAAGAGAATCCACATTCGTGTACACCGTTATGGAATGCCATAATACACCAAGCGAGCTTGATGGGCCGAATGGCCTCCTCTCGTTTGTATAGTTCTTATGTTCTTATGTTCTTAATAGCCAAAATGAAAGTAAATGAGTAAATATTTCAATAATTGTCCTTTTATCTTTAAATAATTCAACAAAATGTATTACATTTCATAAAATTATATTGTCATTTTTATTAGAGTTATTATTAAATTTTATTTCACAGAATGCAAAGGTGATCACACAAATAATTCAAATAATATTTCGCCAAAAAATAAAAAAACCCAACCCCTTAAAAACAAACCCATACCATTATCCCTCCTCCACCAAACTTGCGTCACAGAGAGCCATACAGTTGGCACAATGCAGTCAGGCAGGTAATGTTCTCCTGGCATCCACCAAACCCAGACTCATCCGTCAGACTGCCAGACAGAGAATAGTGATTCGTCACTCCACAGAACATGTTTCCACTGCTCCAGTGTCCAGTGGCAGTGTACTTTACACCACCTCATCCGACGCTTGGCACTGCATTTGATGATGTGAGGCTTGCATGCAGCAGCTCAGCCATGGAAGCCCATTCCATGAAGCGCCTGGCCTCCACTTTGCAATAAGTCCGTTTATGAAATTTCTTCCCTGCTAAATGAAAATTAGGCATTTGGTTTCACTTGAACGCCAAGCACATCAGTGCTCTTCTGCATTGGTGCACTGTCACCAAATATTTAGTTAGTGCTGCATGGTATATCAACACTGGAAAAAGTACTGCAATACTCCATTGTTAAAAACGATACCATTTTCCATTTTATTACTATCGGTACTTTAAGAGTATTCCCTATAAACGATTGTGATTTATTTTGTATCAAACAAACTTTTTACCAATTCAGTTTGAGAAGCAGAATTAAGGGCAATGATAGTCATATTAAGCAGTTAGGCTATCTCTAGTTAAGGTAATCATGGCATACAGTACATTTGTGTAAATATTTGCTATTACTAGAAATGTGTGCTGACCTCTGCCAAGGAAGTGAGATCCTACAAATTTAAAAAACTGGAAAAGAAATCACAGGACTGAAGTATAGAGGACAATATTGGATAACATATAAGCTTTAATAACACCATGACCTTGATCTAATTGTTTACCATAATCCAATTATCAGCGTTATAAATGTATTAAAACATGATCAATGGCTGTACAGCTCAGCAGCTGAATAACTGTTGTTTTGTTAAAACGTGTTCAGTGTCGCTCTGCGCCTGTGATAAAATAGGCTAAAATTTATTTCATTTGACTGATACTGGCAAAATATGAGATTTAATAAAAAAAAAGATAATTTTAAGTTCTGCGTTTTGTGATCTATTTATCCCTTAATTTTCCTGATTTTTTTATTTTATTTTATTTTTTTGCTGTGGTATCATTTTAGTATCTGTATCTAAATATTGTAGGCAGGTATTGTATCGAAGTCATGATTTTGGTATCATGGCAACACTATGTCCTGCACTGCTGATCTATTTTCCTATGACATCGGATGAGCATTTTCACGGCAAAAGATATTTGGTCAAATACATCCCAGACTAACTCAGCGAGTGGTTTGAGTGATCGGATCACAAGAGTCTTGGTGGTCATTTACACCTGTATTTAGTGCTGTCCACTTGTGACCCAAAATGCATTTTGAATCCAAGTGTAAACTGGGCCTCAGACCAACAGAATCACAGGCAGACAGATACACAGGGACAGATGCAGACAGAAACACACATCCTGATTTGCTAGATATTTTTCTTAACTGAAATCACAATAGAAGACATGAATTCATGGTTCTTGTTGTTAGACATCTTTTATACATTGAAACAAAATATAACAAGTTCAGTTGGCCTTGTTGGCTGTCATCCTTCATTGACAGTGTCAGTTTCTTCAACAAGCAACTGGTGAAACTGGTTTGTGTCAATTGGCGTAACCAGTATTTTTCATAAAAATATGATAATAAATGTGAAAATTAATGTGGAATAAAATATAATTCTCATCTGCAGTGTAATAACATGATTTTTAAACAATTATACATAATTTGTCAAAGATTGTTTACAAAACGAGGCATTTTCGAACAAGTAATATCGCAAAAATGCATAACATTTAAATTTAGAGATAATCCTAATATAATCTATTTGATGTGATATCTTAAAATGAATTATTTGTATAATAAACATCATTTCAAATGACATGAAACCAACATGAATATGAAAGGCACATTTAATTTAATGTAATGGTTTAATTTAAACCTGATACATGCTCTTAAGACAGGTTTTTGAATTTTTGAATTGTCCATCTTGCCAATATCCTTATTTGTCAATGGCCCATATCCTGGAGGTTGTGTGTCAGCCTGGAACATCCCATAGGTGTTCAATAGGATTCAGGTCCATTGAGTATGGTACCCAAGGCATTGTTTGGACATTCTGTTGCTGCTACTCCTGTGTGAGCCAAGCTGCATGAGGATGAGCGTAATTAATTATTATTATTATTATTATTATTATTATTATTATTATTATTATTATTATTATTATTATTATTGCATCCCTATTATGGCATCCCTAACTTCTAGTGTTTATCTGAGCGGATTCTCACCAAAGCCCAATGTCAGCTAGAAGACACACCTTAAACACATCTTAAAGCTGATTACAGATTATATAGACACAAAATAACACAAATCAATAATCAAACTGCTTTTATTATTATTATTGTTATTATTATTATTATTATTATTATTATTATTAATAATAATAATAATAATAATAAGTTACTACCATTTATAAAAGGTGAAAGGAAGCTTTATAGTAAGGTGACGCCAAAAAAATATACGTATTTTTTTTTTAATCTAATCGAAAGTAAATTACTTTCCATGAAGCGGTTTATACACGACGTTATAAAACAGAAGGCATTTTCAGCGTTTTTAATTCAATGAGCCAAGAATGCCCCGGCTTTAGTTAGCAAGCCACCGTAATAGAGTTTGGGAGATTAACCACCTAGGCAGCCTTAATTTCCCGTCTAGAGAAACAAAGTGTTTATTTCACTGCTCGGTCCCACTACGAGGAAATGCATCCATAAGACGTCAAATTAGTAATACGTACGGTTAGGATTAAGGCATTCTTTACCAGAAAAGAACGACTTAATTCAAAATTTTAGCCTCCGGTTTCTATGCTAACCAGTACAAACGAATGTCTCGAAATGTACTGGAACCAAAATAATAATAATAATAATAATAATAATAATAATAATAATAATAATAATAATAATAACAACAACAACAACTATTGGAATTTTTTTTTTAAACGGACATTTTCGTTTCTATATTTCCTTTCGATGTCCCTATAGTTAGTACATAAACTTCACGTAAAAGAGACAAAACTAGCAAAGCCCTCGCTTGCATTAACAGGTACCAAGCGTCCACTTCAGACAGCGTTCATTGCCATGATTCGTCTGACTTCGCCGGCGTTTCTGCCTTCGCTTTCAGTATGAAAATGATAAATTCACGCTCATATGGCCAAGGATCGACTTGGCCAGTTCAGCATTTTCCCGTCCAGTTTCCAACCCACACAGCGAGCTGTCAATAAGTCGAGCAGCATTTTTCCCTATTGCCTACTATCTATATAATATAAATTATTATTTACAATAATATAAAATATGGAAAATGACAGAAAAATAGCTATAGTTCTATAATCAGGCGTCCACTTAGAATCACAATTATGTAAACGGAGGCATTCTCTATGTAGCAAAATATTAATCCACATTGCCTCAACATAGGAAAAAACTGAATGCACTTCGTCCCAATACTTTTGGAGACATAATTATTTTAACACCAAGGAATCATTCTAAATAATGCCTTAAATTAATTTCTCTAATTTCTCAAAACTTTCAAGTTAAATTAATTAGTAAGCAAATTAAGTTAAAAATGAATTTGGTTCACGTTATTCTGTCGATCACTAAAACAAACAAAAAAGAAGTAATGTAATGGTAAGTTATTTCCAAATATCCGAGTGCTGACTCAAGACATTGACAGACAATTGTTAAGTCTTCAGCAAACTAACAGGCGCCCCTACAAAACTACGAAAGACAAATTCGGAAAAAAGTTACCAAAAGTCCCCTAAAACCTACCAAAAACATCACTGTCATGCAAACAACCATTTACCTATAGGCCGAAGGCTATACATCTCCACATCCACCTGACATTAGAATTTTACTGGAAACCCCATTGCATTATAGAAACGGACTTAGAGTTACATCGGAGTTACAATGCGACCACAGAGTTTCATCAAAACCCACGAAAAAAACTAAACAGCCTCACACCAAAAAGACATGCTAGCAGCGTGCCTGCAACCCATTTCTTCTGCACTTTCACAGACATAAACGCTGTCATAATGCATAAATCGCAATTCAGCCCATCTCCTCACCTGCTTTTGTAGGAACCCGACATGACTGAGCGTGGGTCTTTCTATTTTTTTGGTCCCTGCAGACCAACCGGAAGTTGGTGTCACAAGAAAAACAGTCCGTTGCGGGAACTCGGGTATCCTCAAGTAAAGAAGAAGGTGGGGGTAAATAAAATGTATACGGGTGTTCGCCACAGAGGCTATTTTCTAAACATATTTAGAACTTAGAAATTATTCAGCTTTTTTGGCCGTTAACGTCACATCCGCATACACAGTGACGCAAGGCTTAGTTACACAACGTCAACGTACATTTCAAAGGGAAAAAGTACATATCTTGTATGTTTAAATTCTGGAAAATTATCAAAATTCATTTCCATGGGGGAAAAAATAGGTATTTTATAACAGAATAATACTAAACCAATTCCTAACATGCTCTTTGTTACAGTTTAAATTAATAACTCCTAGGACGCCAAACAGCAAAAAGGATGTTTGTCAACTAAAACGCTGTTTTTATTTTGTCAGGTTACTAGTACGATTTGACAACTGTCTTGGTCAGCCGGCCAATTAGTTAATTGTGATAACATTTTTTTAAAAATCCCCCTTCCTAACGCAGGAAGTAATTCCTTGCGCTGGTCTTTAGCAAACGGGAAGTGGCGATTTTATTGTTGACAGCTGAGTGTTACACGAAACAGAGCAAAAGCAAAACACACAACCTGTTTTAAAATAAAACAAAACGACCAGCTCATATCGAATTAACCGGAGCGACTACCCGTGATCAGGGCCAAGGTGGGAGGACTGTCTCACAGACTGTCTTCTTGTGCGGCGCCGTGCAAATGCTGCACGGTGTTGAAGACCGAGGTAACCCGCTGGCAGCCGTAGCAGCTAGCTAGCAGAGCTCGCCGATGCATCGGATCGGGATCACAGTTTAGCCCTCAAGAGGCGCGTCGATCGCAAGGTAACCGAGATCTTCGACCCCTCTGCCTCCCCGGGGGATTTTCTCCCTTTTTCCGTTGAGGTGAGGCTCTGTCAGGAGTCAGCGCGGTTGTCATGTTCTTTCACCGGCACATGAACAATATTAGCCAGATGCATGGCTTGTTTTAAGTGATTTGTAAGTCTGTGTTTTGCTTTTTTCTGAGTGCCTTCCTGACCGGGGTGTCCGCAAATATCACTGCCAGCAGCGGTAACACGTCGGCGCAGACTTCGTAGCAGATCACCCTATTTAATCACACTTGTTTTTGCATTTTTGGCCATCAAAAGCTGCATTTTGCCTAGTCGTTCCGTACATTTAGGCTAAATTAATCAATTGGGAAACCGAAAGTGTACCAGTGCATTGGACTACTTCGAAGGTGGGTGTGCTGGTAATCGGACGCAGATGTGTTTGATCGTATCATTCTTGTAATAAATAGATAGTAGATATAATCTATGTCCGTGCAACAAATTCCTAAGTCCAAGCGTGTGGTAGCAAGACTTAAACACCCTAAAGCTCTGTGTAAGGTTTGTTTGCACCTCTGCTTTTCTTAGAAACCGGTCACTTCTGATTTTTACGTACCTATATGCTATTATGTAGAGATGTATATACAGTCTATCACTGCAACGGTGGAAGTTTGAGCAAACTGGTGTGTATAATGTTAAGGACGGAGCTACACGGGGCAGACTTTTGATGGCACCCCGTATATAAACAGATGGGCCTGTTACAAAGCGGGCGGTTGGGAAAACACGACGGCAGTCAAAATTCTACTATAAATACATATACATTATACGCCGTTTGAAGCATGTCTTTATGGAGTTGTTCTGACTTGATTTGCCCACGATACTCCTGCATATAGACAGATCTGGTCGCCGATCACATTGAGTATTGATCCAGGGAAGCCCGGTTTTGAGTATAGTTGCAGTTAATGATCAGTCCAACAGAAAACCCTGTCTTTTCCTCCCGTGAGGATCTGGAGGATTTGTGAAGCGTGACAAATGCAATAAAGAACTGAAAGTGACGTCCTGATGATCACCCGAAGTGCCGGAGAAGCCGGATAATTACTTGGATGAATATGAGCTGATATTTGAAAATGAACTGATATTTATAGCAATTACAATGCCTCTCTACTTTGTCTTTTCTTTTAAAAGACTGTATCTGTGCTGAATTGAATGAAATATTTGAAATATATATTTTTCCTTTTCTCAGATTTGAACTGTCCAGCGTGGTTCTTGTTAGGTCATACTGGCTAATGTCTCTGTTTGCCCTACAGGTTTTAGGTCCTCCTTGCCTGGGGTGCGGTACAGAGTTTTAGGTCTTCCACATTTCCCCCAGCGTCAACCGGCCTCCCAATGCCTTCTGAGTGAGGCTACAGCTTCACCTATCAACCTCCACGCCAGCTGCTTGCTCCCCATCATCGACTGTGTGGGGGAGAGTGAGGGAGGGAGGGACGGAGGAGGCGGAGGGTTTACCATGGCGACCAAAGTGGGGGACGACCCAGATTCCCTGATCGCACTCTCCACGGATTATTGCCTGCGGAACCTGAGCCGGACCATGTGCTGCACAGGCGACAAGGGCGTTCTCCGCCTGCGACCGGACGTGTTCCTGCCCAGCGAGATCTGCGACAAGCTCGTCAACGCGTACGTCTGCTTCCCTGTCTGACTGGCAGCTAGGAGCAGATCGCAGCAGATGCTGATGCTCCGATGTGTTTGTTGTTCCAGGTACATGGATTTAGTGCACACGGACAGCGACTTTGAGGGCCACGATGGCTTTTTCCAGCTCTTCTCGGACCCTCGCAGCACCAGGCTCTCCCGGGTCCACCTGAGGGAGGACACCGTGTTGGATCAGGACCTGCAGGCCATTGCCAAGCAGGTGGGCATGTGTTCAGGATCCATCTGCAGAAATGACACTCAGGGCATCAAAGAACAGACATAAAAATAACATGGACTGCAGTCCATCCGCTTAGATACAGAACGTGTTTTATCGGTGTGATGTAGTGCTGACCCTGTTGAGTTTAATGGTGTTTTTTCTACGCTGCTAGGAGCCCATATTCCACATCCACTACTTTTTGAATGAGAAATCTTTTCATTTATTTCTAGACTAATCTTCAGCTAATTCACACCTCATCGATCCAGCTGTCATCTAACTGCTTGTCCTGGTCAGGGTCTTGGGTGGGTGAGGGGGTAATTCACACTTGTTACCCTATATTCTTAAGAACATACTACGCATGAGGGGGAGGCCATTCAGCCCAACTTATGGTTGTTTTGTATTAAAGGGTAAATACTATTTCATTTAGCGCTGATTTCATCTTGGGCTGCCGTCAGGGGTGTACTGGAATATTCGTCTGTTAAGATTTGAATTATGTTTTGTCTCAGTTGCGTTTTACATAAGATAAAATACGAAGAACTTTATTTATCCCGAGGGAAACTCTTTTGTCTTGAACATGTTCAGTGCAAGAAGAGGAATAAAGATAAGACAGTAAAGAGCTTAAAAAGAACAGTAGTAATAGTGCAAAAACAGAATAACAAATTAAATCTAACAAAGTAACAAATAAATATAACAGATATAATAAAATAACAGATAATTAGTGCAAGTGGTTATGAAACGTGACTTAGTGTCTGTGCCATGGATAAAATGAGGGCAGTTTTGATGTTTTGACCCCATCTTTGTCTAGCAACTTTTTAAGACCTTGAATAATTATTTTTTGCCATGTAAGAACTATATAATTTTTACACGAGCTCTGTTGAATCCCTGTCTTTAAAAATGCCTCTTGTTTTGTTTCTGTTGACCCTGTCAGGACCTCATTGAGCTGCACCTGACCAACTGCAACAACCTATCGGCCCACAGCCTGAAAACGCTGTCTGACTTCAGGCACACGCTGGTCTCCCTCAGCCTCTTCGGCTGCAGCAACATCTTCCACAGGAAGGCCATGGACTTCAGTTTCCAGGGCTTCAACCGACTGCGGCTGCTCAACCTGGGCTGCCTGCCCCCGGATGTGGATGTGGAGGCCCTTCTGAGCCCCCTGACTTCCCTCACCGCCCTTGACCTCTCGGGCCTCCAGCTCCCCAGACCAGCCTTCTTGGCCCAGTGGAGGGACCGTCTGACCTCGCTAGTGCTGTACAACGTGGAGCTCTGCGAGGAGGTGTTCCACACCGTGCTGCAGATGGACCAGATCCGGTGAGCTGTGAGGCCCGGAAGCCTCCGTGCAAATGTCCATGTTCTCTTTGGCCTTGTGTCTGCTGGTGGAATTATTCTTCATCATACTCGATTAGGCGAGTGATGCAAGACCCCAAAGGGGTTACGGACTCTCTCTACCCCCAGAATCTGTATATATTGTATTACTTGAGGCATGTGAGTAATTGTTGGAGCTGTTAGGAGGTGGGGTGCCGGCGGCAGCGCGGGCCCCCCCTCTCACCCTGCACTGTGGGGGTAACGGTCGCGTTCCCTCACTGCCTCTTTCTGTTCCCTCACTGCCTTTTTCTGTTCCCTCACTGCCTCTTTCTGTTCCCTCACTGCCTCTTTCTGTTCCCTCACTGCCTCTTTCTGTTCCCTCGATGGCTCTTTCTGTCTGCAGGCACCTGGACATATCGCGCGAGAGCCGACGAAGCGGCAAGTTCAAGCTGACCAGGAAGCTGCTGACGGCCATCGTGCAGAGCCTCACCCACCTGGCGTCGCTGGACATCTCGGGCCACGTCATGCTGGACAACTGCGCCGCCCCCCCCTTCGAGGAGGCTGTGGGACGCCCTAGGTAGGCAGGGCTGGGGCTCCGCTTTTGGATGCTTTTTATTTCTTTGTTAATCCTGAGAGAAGTATTGGCTGCATTTAAAGCCCCCCCCCCCCAAATTACAGGCCTCTGCAGTGTCTTTGATTCTTTTATATTGAAAGTTTCTTGGTAGGGGAAGGAGAGCATTGCATGCTAAGAAGTTTCTCCTTGTGTGTGTGTGTGTGTGTGTGTGTGTGTGTGTCTGTCTGTCTGTCTGTCTGTCTGTCTGTCTGTCTGTCTGTCTGTCTGTCTGTCTGTCTGTCTTTCTTGGCCTTGTGCAGCACTGATCCCAGTAAAAGCAGCATCTACCCGCTGCGTGAGCTGAAGAGACCGCTGCAGTTCCTGGGCCTCTATGACACCACGCTCTGTAACCTGACGCACATCCCCGCCTATAAGGTGAGCTGTGGAGGTGGCTGTCTTCTGCTCCTGCTCCTGCTCCTGGTCACCACCTCCAGCTTGTCGGGAACGGGATGGGAACGGGATGGGTCTGTCTTATCATTCAGTTTACCTGTAGAAAAATTTCTTAAAACACTGCACAATTTCAAGGAAATGCAAGCACAGGTATAATTACAAATGAATCTTCAGAATAATTTATACATTTAATAGTTTGTGCATAAAAGTATAATCTCAGATTTTTTTTCATTTTTATTTTTTATTAAATATCGGCTTGCTGCTGCTAAGTCTTGTCACAGGTTAGGTTGGTTGGGGAGCTTTATAAGCACTATCTGAAGTGAATGAAGCGGCCATTTTGGTGCTGCTTATCGCGGTGGCCTTGTACCCACACCGTCGTCTCCGTCCCGCTGCAGGTTACCGGCGGCAAAAACGAGGAGCAGATCCTGAACGCCATCGAGGCCTACACAGAGTTCCGGCCAGAGCTGGCGCACCGAGCCATCAACCAGCTGTTTGACATCGCCAGGATACAGCACTGCGGCCAGCTGCTCCGGGCACTGCAGGTATTACCCACAATGCATTGCCGTTCCCGGGTGCCGCAGTAGCCTTTATATACCTCCCAGTGTGGTGAGGGTTTTGACTCGGAGTGTGAAGGCACTGCTTGCAATCATCTGCGTTCATTGCTTCTGATGCGCCCATGACTCATATGGAGTCAAAATGATTACTTCTGGCATTTTCTGGTATCTGAACATTTTACTGAATATTCAGTATGCATAAATTTGCACGTTTTATATTAGGTGCACATCTTTTTTTGTATCAAAGCCAAGATATACCCCTTACCAGACCTAGCAAGCATCCATGTCGGGGGATTCAGTAGATATAAATCCATCCACCGTCCATAAGTGCTTATGCAGGGCAGGGCTGCAGTAAGGCAGGAGCGCAGTGCACAAGGCAGGGGGCGCCAGGGATCACAAGGCATGTACACACGGTACACCTGCTCAGACAGGGAGGTCATGCAAGGAGCTGGAGGAAAGAAGCCTGGAGATATGAGGCTAGAGGGTTATTTAGTAAGTCGCTGTGCTGCTGTTAGCCCAGCAATAAAACACTTTATTAAACTGAATGAAGCACTCAGCAGTCCCTTGTGTTAGTGCTTCGCTAACGTCAGTAGCTCCATCTGGCCTCAAATGCGTGTCATTGATCCCCACCCCCCCCCCCCCCCAGCTGGTGATCGCAGCCCTGAAGTGCCACAAGTACGACAAGAGCATCCAGGTGACGGGCAGCGCCGCGCTCTTCTACCTGACCAACACGGAGTACCGCTGCGACCAGAGCATCCGGCTGCGCAGGGAGGTCATCCAGGTGGTGCTGAACGGGATGGAGCAGTACCAGGAGGTCACGGTAGGCAGGGGAGGAGCTTGACCCACCAATCGTGTCGCTGGATGCATCATGTGACTCGAGGCTGTGCGAAAGGAGAGGGGCGGTATTGGTTTAAGAGGACAGTGGGTAGGAATGAAAGCGGACAATCGTTTGGGCTTTAATTCAAGGGAAAGACACCTTGGATTTTGAGTTCAGGGACAGACAGTAAGTGTGTAAAAGTAAGCTCATAGCACAGTGGTTGTTTTCAGATTTCATATTTTTTATTATCATTGTCCAAGTACGATGAGATTGGATGCAGTCCCTTTCAGTGCAAAAAGGTCAAAGCCTCTCAATCTTTTTGCACCACGACCCAATCTTTACCATGCCAGCTCAGTCACGAGCCGATATCAAGTATAGGTTTAAAATAATGCTATGATCAAGCACACAGTGCACTTTGCAATTTACGGCAATCAATGCTTATCGCACAGATTTGATTGCCGGTGAATTTTAAATTAAGCATCTGTGGTTTGGCTTCTTGGATTGGTTGAGTGTTCACTAGCTTTGCATTAAGCATTTGCAGACCCAAGACCTGTTTATATAGGTTAACTCTAGGACTGGGGCTGGGAAATCTGATCGTGGATCAGCATAGGAGTTTGCTGGTTTTCAAATGCTTACATATACGACTCCGCCTCACGACCCTTTCGGAACTTGCAGTGACTCAAATTTGGATCGTGACCAGAGGTGGAGATTTCAGGTCCAGAGAGTACAAATCCAGACCAAGATTGTGTTTTGACCAACCAGTTGAGTATAAAGAGTCACAGTCACAGAGCACTCAAGTGGTTGGTCGAAACACAATCTTGGTCTGGATTTGTACTCTCTGGACCTGAAATCTCCACCTCTGATCATGACCCATGGGTTGAGAATCACTGCCGTAGTGTCATCTGTTTAATAATATTAAACTGTATACCAGTGAATGAATGGACTTGACCCGATGTGTTTATCTTCTTTTGCCACCGCGGTATTTCATATCTCTACCCCAGGTCCAGCGGAACTGCTGCCTGACACTGTGTAACTTCAGCATCCCCGAGGAACTGGAGTTCCAGTACCGGAGGGTCAACCAGCTGCTCCTGCGCATCCTGGAGCCGACGCGGCAGGACGAGTCCATCCAGCGCATCGCTGTGCACCTCTGCAACGCCCTGGTCTGCCAGGTGGACAATGACCACAAAGAGGCAGTGGGCAAGATGGGCTTCGTCAAGGCGAGTCACACCGGCGGCCTGGAGACCACAAACACAAACGTCATCATACCTGCTTTTAAACACAATAGAAAAGTAGGAGGGAGGCTTGCAGTGGGTAGGTCTTGGGTTTGTAACTCAAAGGCTTTTGGTTGGCATCTCTGATGGGTTCCTGAAGCTGTACCCATAGACTCTGAATATCCAATAACGTATCAAACCATATAAATAGTTAAAGCATCAACAGAATCATTGACATTAAGTGTAAATGTTTTGGCCAGGCCTGAAATATTTAGTGTTGAAGATTTAAAATCCTGAATGTGTATTTATGTGTTAGGATTAACTCCGTCCTCCTCCTCTTCCCCTTGGCGTTTATCTAACTTTCTCCGTCAAACATTTTCATTTTCAGACTATGCTTAACTTGATACAGAAGAAGCTTCTGGATAAACTGGTGAGTCCAATCGAGGTCTGCTTTGTTTTAGTGTTAAAAAAAAACCCTTATGCAATGAAGCATAGGTTGATATTCTCCTAGTCCCTAAGGGTAGAAGATGAAATGGTTGGTTAGATGTCATATGCAGCCATGACCAGTGCTGACCTGAGGTGGCAAGATGAGCACTGACACCTTGAGCGGTGTGGAAGGTTTAGCAGTCTGCTGCTTTACCCATCTGCTTCACATTATTAATTAGTGCTGAGAAACTAAGGTTCTAATTAGTTTCAACCAAATAGGTGTAAATAATAGTAATTTCTTTCTGTAATGCAGTTTAGATGCGTCATGCTTTCTTACAACCATGTTTTAAGTTTACCTGTTTGACAACTTCGTAGTGCTATGCTAACCACTGCTGAGTATTATATGCCTGTCAGTGTAATTCGGCCTGTTTGATGCCTTTGTAGCGCTACACTAACCGCTGCTCAGCATTATATGCCTGTCAGTGTAATTCGGCCTGTTTGATGCCTTTGTAGCGCTACGCTAACTGCTGCTCAGCATTATATGTTTGTCTGTGTAATTAGGCCTGTTTGACGCCTTTGTAGTGCTACGCTAACCGTTGCTCAGCATTAAATGCCTGTCAATGTAATTCGGCCTGTTTGACGCCTTTGTGGCGCTATGCTAACCGCTGCTCAGCATTATATGCCTGTCTGTGTAATTAGGCCTGTTTGACGCCTTTGTAGTGCTACGCTAACCGCTGCTCAGCATTATATGCCTGTCTGTGTAATTAGTCCTGTTTGACGCCTTTGTAGTGCTACNACGCTAACCGCTGCTCAGCATTATATGCCTGTCTGTGTAATTAGTCCTGTTTGACGCCTTTGTAGTGCTACGCTAACCGCTGCTCAGCATTATATCCCTGTCTGTGTAATTAGGCCTGTTTGACGCCTTTGTAGTGCTACGCTAACCGCTGCTCAGCATTATATGCCTGTCTGTGTAATTAGCCGTAATTAGATGTTAGACGATAACATCTAAAATGAGTTATGTCTGCAGTGTGGAATAAATCAATTAAAGATGAAATGAAGACCAGTCTCCCTCCTTCCCTCTCTCCCTCCCTCGCTCCCTCTCCGGGCCCGCAGTGTGATCAGGTGATGGAGTTCTCCTGGAGCGCCCTGTGGAACATCACGGACGAGACACCAGATAACTGTCGGATGTTCCTGGAGCGTAGCGGCATGGATCTTTTCCTGGAGTGCCTAAAGGTGAGGTCAGATTGCACCCCCTAACCGTCCCATTAGCGGGGGCGGAGGAAGGGCGCATCACCAGCGGCTCAGTGGATATCACTTTGGCCTCACACCACTAGGGTCTCAGGTTCGAATCCCATGTGCCTGGTGTTGCTGCCCTCCCATATGGGACCTCTGCTGTCTAGTGCTCTGTGCTTCATAGGATAGACTACTTGCTCTATATCAGAGAAGCAGCAAAATTCAATCTGTTTTGTTTGTTTGTATTTGTACCTATATAGTGGTAAAATTTATCTCTAGGTACTGGGAAATATCTCTGAGCCTCAGCCACCTGAGTACACACTCCAGAGCCACTGTCCTTTTTCTGGAGAGATGGTCTCTGTCACCTGCTCACCGTTTGGTGTCTGTGATTTCCTGGGCCGCTGTGGACTGTAAAGTCCATTGGGCTGTTTGGAGACTGTATCTGCTCCTCACATGACATTTGGGGCACCTCCTGTTCCTCTGGTTGAACTTGGTCTAAAGTGCTGATGTTCTCCTTGAGGTGCAGCCCTCAGAGTTGGGTGACTGGTGGCTTCCTGCTACATTGTTCGGCCTCTGTGACGTGTGACAATTCTGTGACGTGGCTCATTTTGCATGCATTCCTGTGTGATCGGTGTGATGTTGCCATGGAAGCATATACTGGCCCCATAAATATCTCGAGTAGCTGGTTTTACCTCCCAGCCCCTGATATAGTTACCTGAAGTGGACTTTCCTGCTTCCTGAATGACACGCTCTACATTTATCATTGTTCAGTGTCTTTTGTCAAACGTCTGTCGATTTTCTTTTTGATGTTTTTTGTGTAATCTGCCTAATTTGCTGCCTAATTTTGGGGCCTCTGCAAACGGACAAGATTCATTGAGGTCAGACAAGTGGAAGTACTGTTAGTCCTTTATCTCTGCTCCATCCATCCATCCACACACCCACCCACTTATTTTTCGTTAACGGCAGTCAGGTCCCTGCAGGTCTGCCTCGGAAACCCCGTGGTGTAATGGAAGGTATCCTGTGCTTCCGGCCCGGGCTGACCCCGAGGCTCGTACCCATCGCTCACAGGCGCCTCCCTCTCCCGCAGGAGTTCCCTGACAAGCAGGAGCTGCACCGCAATATGCTGGGCCTGCTGGGTAACGTGGCGGAGGTGAAGGCGCTCCGGCCGCAGCTGATGACGCCGCAGTTCATCACAGTATTCAGGTGGGAGCGACTCGTCACTCTGTTCCCCCTCCCGCCTCCGCTCGCTATTACACTGTAATTCTCACTTATAGGCTGTGTTTATGTTTAAGAGAACCATTTAGATTCCGCACTGATTTAAATATGGTATCGGTTTCTGGTCGTGAGGGATTTTCTGTCTTGATTCATCATACTATAACGGGGGGCGGTACCATCAGTCTCCTCACTACTGTGGAGTGTGGAGTACATCAACAGCCGGCAAGAATCCCGTAATAAAAATCTCTATTCCAAATGTATGACTTGGCTCTTGTCATGGTGGTCCCCTGTCTGTATGGCGATGCAGCAACCTGCTGGACAGCAAGGCAGACGGCATCGAGGTGTCGTACAATGCCTGCGGCGTGCTCTCCCACATCATGTTCGACGGGCCCGACGCCTGGACCATGGACGAGCCCCAGCGGGAGGAGGTCATGGATAGGATGTGGGACGCCATCCGGAGCTGGGATGTCAGCTCGCGCAGGAACATCAACTACAGGTGCCTTGGGTGGCCTTCGGGTCGGTGACATCGTGACTTCAGTTACTCATGACTAGCATGGGGCTCGGGTCAATGGGAAACGCCAACAGGTGTCCACTGTTGGAGAAGTCACGTTGACTGAGGGACACCTCTAGCTTCTAGGGTAGGGTCTGGGTACGTTTTCACCACCTAGCAGGTATTCAAGTCAATGTATACAACATTGGATTTGATGATGAACAAGGTGTTCTAGTCCATTAGCATGAGAGAGAACTGAAGACTGATTTGTAAATTTTAATGTTGGTGTAGGAAGGACCGGTCCTGCACTCAGACAGTCATGTCCTCGCTGGACCTTTTGCCCCATTATGAGAGAATGCCAGACTGTAGGCCCCTCAAACTCCAACAATGGTCTTTCCTGCACAGGTCTTTCGAGCCAATCCTTCGTTTGCTGCCTCAGAGCATTGCTCCTGTCAGCCAGCATTGGGCCACCTGGGCCTTGTATAACCTGGTGTCTGTTTACCGTGAGTACCAAACCGTCTCTCCCCGGTAATATTGTCAGCATCATCAACACGCAGGCGGCAACATTGGGATGCTGGTTGTCGTCAACAAATTAAAGTCAACTGTGACTCTTGAACATCAAGCAAAACCTCTTATTCTCCTTCTCCTACTGTTCTTCTCCCCCCCCCCCTTCCACAGCGAGTAAGTACTGCCCCCTCTTGATTAAGGAGGGTGGGATGAATCTCTTGCTGAGTGTACTGGAACTGCCTAGTTCTCATGAGGAGACAAAGGACATGGCAAGGTATGGCACAGCTCCCTGACGCCAAGTATCTGGAGAGTTAAGAATGAAGAAAGATGCATAATGTTCATTACGTTCATGCTGTTGGTGAATTTTTCATGGTGTATTTGGTTCCCACTAATTCTTGATTTTTTTTTGTTGATCATAATCAGTTATTTCAGGTTATTTTCTTAAGAATGCAGTAGTTTAGTGAGTAGCGCTGTTATCTCACAATATCAGGGCTGGGGATTCAGACTTCTCGCTACTCTATGTGTGGAGTTTGCTTCTTCTCCTCATGCATGGGTTTCCTCCAGGTATTCTGGATTCCTCCATCAGTCCAAAGGCATACAATTAGGGCAGTGTTTCCCAATCCGGTCCTCAGGGCCCCCCAGTTGGTCCATGATTTTGCTCCCTCTGAGTTCCCTACCAGACAGTCCACAATTGTGGGAGCGGGGAGGGAGCAAAAACGTGGACTTTCTGTGGGTCCCCATGGAACGGAATGTGAAACACTGAGTTAGGGTGATCAGTGTCTCTACATTGCCCATAGTGTATGATTCTTTCCCCAATGATGGATCCCATCCAGGGTCCACCGCAGACTTTGGCCCTGTGCTGCCTAGGATAGGCTCCAGCTCACTGAGACCCTGTATGGGGAAAAAGTGCTTTTAGAAGTTGGATGGAAAGGCAACCTCACAGACTCTAATATAGCGCCAGGCTAATTGGGTCCATGTTTTTATGTATGAGCAGAGGTGGAAAATACAAATCCAGAAAGTACAAATCCAAACCAAGATTTTGTTTCAACCAACCCATTGAGTACACTGTGACTGTGACTAGTTGGTCGAAACAAAATCTTGGTCTGGATTTGTACTTCTTGGACCTGAACTTTCCACCGCTGATAATGAGGTTTGATTAATCGTTCGGTGCCTCTCTCTGGCTTCCAGGAAGGTCATGGAGCACTGTGGGAACTTCAAAGAGGACCCCATGGAGACCGGGCGGTAAACGGCACAGGAGGAGGACAACACTAGGAGATGTGAAAAAGTGGTTATAGAGATGGATGGTTTTTGTTTTCTTCACACCAGAGGTAACCGTGTGCATCCATTTAGTGTAACGGGTGGATGGGGGGAACTTCAGCTTCTCCACCAATCCTTTTCGGGAGGAACATTTCAGTGTAATGACTGAACAGAGATGTGGCACGTGGGAATTATTTTTTTCGTTTGTGGTATTGCACATGATAAGCTTTACTTGTACAAGTTAAATGGTTTCGTTAAGTTCTTTTTTTTTAATTTCGTTTTTGCGTGTCTTCAAAACACATGAGAAGTGTCTGCTAATGGACAGCTAGAGAAGCTTTCAGAGCGATTCTCCTCACTGAGAGTCTGTAAGCTTGGCTTCCAGACGGCTATCTGCTGTCAAAGGACTCGGTCGCCCCGTTTTGTCCTTTTCTGATTGTTGCGGCCCCCTGAAGTGGATTTCAATCCCGAAAGGTTCTGTTACGATCCCTAGCCTCTGGAGCCACCGGATGCAGGGGGCCTTGGAATGTGCGGAGTCATGATGTTGCTCCTCCTGTTGGGCTGTTCTTTTGTGTGTGTCGCCCCCTTGTGGGGCCACCAGCACGTCTTTGAGTGACAGGAAGTCTTCCCTGGTGCCATGGAGCTTATCAAGCAAGGAAGATTGATGTTCGATATCTGTCTGCTTTGTATCTAGTCAAAGTAAACATCTCCACATTGTTCTCTTATTTTTCCCACTTTTTGTTGTTCTAACATGATTCGAAATGGTGTGACTGTGTGTGTGTGTGTGTGTGTGTGTGTGTGTGTGTGTGTGTGTGTGTGTGTGTGCACGCTTGTCCTCGCACGTCCTGCCATGATGATGCATAAAAAACACACTCCTGAGAAAGTAGAAGACAATGGTTCCAGTTAAGTATTCAACATTACCTGTTGATATCATTTTTATATAACCCCCCCCCCCCACCTTAAACAAGGGTTTTATTTTTGTTTATTTGACTTAAAGCTTATTTATATTTTAGAAATTGGAAGTAGAGAGTCAGACCCTCTAATGATAATAGAAAAGCTGAGTGTAGTGAAATCCTAAGGGTTTCGGTTGCAATATATAACAATAATAATTATTAGTGTCAGACTTTTCTACGCAAATGAACTTAATTGTTTATGGCTAATAGTACACAATTAAAATATGGAGTTCTGAAGATAATCTTTTTGCTCAAAAGGAAAAGCAGTTTATTATGGTGGATTCATGTGTTTAGTAGAAACTTGAACTAAAGTGTTTCAAAGTCATGCCAGCCATTATCAGTGATTTCCAGGTGATTTAATTTTAACAAGAAATGCATCGCAAAATGTCCAAAATCATGTGCGAAAGCTATCCTTTCTCTCAAAACGTGCGTGTCAGAGCCAGTTAACAAAATGCTGCAATAACGACTATGCTAAGCATTTAATGTATATTTTTGAAACCGTAGTTCTCAAAGTTGGTTGTGTAGAGCACAGACCAGGCATCGGAAGGGTTTGTGTCCCTCTAATGGGGGCACGTTAATTCCCGTTAGCCTCTGTACCTGTTTTTGTGAATAACTGCTAGGGATTTAGGGGTAAAAATTTCATGTTTTGATGTGTGAGCAGGCTCTCCTCCTCCATCCTGCCATTCCCATATGTCCTCCAATTGGTCTAATTTGGATTCAAAAATAAAGTGTCTGTGATTCCCTTATTAAATTAGTTTGTCCAAGACAGAATTTTATGGACTTGCAGTCCATTTTGAATGTCTGTTTTAGTATGTATGTGTATGTATGACAGCTGAGGGATATTATAGCTCTATTCATGTGAGTTATGGTGGTGTTCTTGTGACACTCTCTCTCCCAGCCATACCAGGGTTTTACATTAATGTTTCTTAGTATGAATGTTGGCTTCAGCGTCAGGATTTCCGAGCTAAATATGCGGTGCCAGTCAGAGTGAGACACTAAGCAGTGGGTGAAAAATGTCTCCTCTTTTTTAAATTCTAAAGGATTACCCATCTTAGCCGAACGAAGCAAGCAGGATCTAATGTTCTCACCTTATTCTCACACCATTTCTCGCTGTCAAGTTGAAACACTCAGGGTGTGTGTGCGCGTGTGTGTGTGTGTGTGTGAGAGAGAGAAAGAGAGAGAGAGAGAGTTTGTAGGGGTATATGGGAAAAAATAATAGTTATTAGAATCAATAGTTTCTCTGAATGTTGGCTTACCATGACAAAAAACTTTAGTTCTGTTTAAATGGGGGGGATGATTAGTGTACTGGTTTCATTCTCTCACTTATTTACCACTTTGATTGGTTAAAATAAATAAAAGTTGCAGTGACTGTGTTTTACTGCTGTTGTTGGGTTTTTTTTTTTTTGGGGGGTTAATATGCAAAAAGGGACTCCCACATCCAATGGCAGCACAGCTTACATTTTGTGTGTCTCAAGAACGCAGGAGGTGTTGCACCAGAATCTCTTTGTTGAGCCAACTGTCAAAATCGGGGCAGGAGTCCCGGTACTGAGCCGGTGTGTGGTGTCCTGTCGACCTTCCTTCGGAGAATGTCCAGCGTAGCAGTTCAGCAGTATGGTACGAGCTTTTATCCATGGCGGTGACAGTCATCAGATGTGCTGCCCTGACAGTCTGGGAACTGGGCCTGTACCAGAAATTAAAATGTCCATTTGAGTCACTTGGGTAAGTGGAAGCCCCTGCAGGTGATATCAGTCACTGACGTGGAATTTAGTTATCTTACATTAGTGATGTTCTTGAGGTGTGAGCTGAATGTAGTTTCACTAACATCTGCTGGTCCCCTATTAGATGACATTCCTGTCGTGACGAAAACTTCCTGGGGAATTCCAGTGCCAAACGCCCCTCGCCTCCATATGACCTCCCCATTTTTCACTAAGTTACGAGCCTTTCTGTGAGTTCAAGGAAGTCAATACTATCATGTCAAGAGATCCAGCCAGTTAGTCACTAGAAATATACAGAGGTGAAGATTTCAGGTCCAGAGAGTACAAATCCAGACCAAGATTTTGTTTCAACCAACCAGTTGAGTATAATCTTGGTCTGGATTTATACTTTCTGGACCTGAACCTTTACTCTCCCTAAATCCCATGCGACAAACCAGGTGGAGATTGGAGCATCATTCCTTAATGAAACTTATGCCAAAGGTTAAATTATCCACAGTTTAATAAGTATATTTTATAAATACCCAATACTGTATTTCATTCACCCATTTCCTGTAACTGATTTTTCAGTGTACGATGGTCTGTAGATTATCCCAGTGAACACGGAACAGTGTAGAGGATGTCTTGTATAGGATGCCAGTCCATCGCATGTCTCACACATGCTTGCACACACAATGGGCACGTTAGTTTGATCAATAAATGTTTAAGAAATTCTGATGAAGTACTTTGCTCTATGCTTCGAAAACTGCATGCTGGTACGGAGCACTGAAGCACCCACCACAGGACAAACCACCTCAGGGATGAGAACCCAAGTGCAGTTGTGCAGGTGATGACCCTTGAGCACCACGCTAGTTTGAGTGGAATGTTGTTTTCTGCTGGCTGGAGTGCCAATCTCGCCACCATCCCCTGTAAGTCAGAGGACCTGCTTAAACCGACAGCCTTTCGATCGCTGGCACAGAACCCTGCCCTCGGAGCCACCACTCTTAACTATTATCCCTAAAGTTAGGCTGTTACATTATTGAATGAACAATCAATCATCAATGTGGTTAAGATATTGGATATTACACTGCCATGTAGGATTATAATTTCCCTTTCAAATAAACTTAAACAAATCTTTGAAGTGGTATTGCTATGTGCAACATTTTTGGTCAATGACTGGGTGTCCAGGGATTTTACAGGACTGAGGTGGCACCCCTCTCGCAAGAGGACGACAAAGTGGTGCTGCTGTGTTCCGGTGACTACTGGCCCACTTTATCGTGGGGACCCCCAGACCCCACCCCACACTTGGTTAATTTTATCATCGGGGACCTGTAGGGCTGGCATCCCATATTTCTTGAGATTGAATGTAGCAATCCTACCAGAGCAGAGCCCCTCCCCCCTAAGGTTCTAGTCCAAGGCTGCCCCATTCTACATACCAGTTATTTTTACACTTGTGGCCTTTCTGTTAGCAGTAACGAATCTGGCATTAACTGGATACCATTCTTTGGAAACTCTAAACTATGTATAGTGCTTTAAATAAATAAAATAAAAAATATATATATAATAATAAATTATATATATATATATATAGAGAGAGAGGGTGGGTTTTTAAAATGCTGGAACCATAGCGTACAGTACCAATAATTGCACCATGTTATCTATTAAAGTGATTTAGTACTCCATGTGTCCATGAATAATGGCAGATATATCAATGTGTTTATACAAGTTACGTGGTTTATATACATTGTTAAAAAATGGATGAGTGGCTATATACTAGGTTGATAATAAGTAAATGAAAGATAATTTTATAGTTATATAATTTTTACAGTTATCATGATGGCATGATATTTACAACAGTTTTCAATACAAATCACGTATTTTAGCTCAGCTCATAGTGCTTTCACATCGTGGTTTTGTAATTATTGAAGCACACAATTAAGGGTAAATTCCACAGCTTCTGACTTATTCTTAGATGGGTGCTTTCAGTTTATCAACCCAAATGTCTTTTTAAAGTTGGGTAATGTGCATCACGCCACAATAATGTTTACATTGGTTTCTATGGTAATATGGCTTGCACCGTTACTCCGGCAACATACTTATAATTGTATCCTGGGTCAAATATTCGCCAATCACAGGCTTTCAAAGTAATCACATCGTTTAAATTAGCCAATCATAAACGACGGGGCGTGTACGTGCCGGAAGAACGGCTTCTTGGAGACCGAGTCCTTAGGGAGCATGTGAAAAAAAGGCAGTTGTTCAATAAAATATCAGAATTTGGCTATTTGGCTTGTCGCTTTCTCATGGTAAGACCAATCGAGTGTAATACCTTTCTTGTACTCGGTACGGTTAACATATTCTCGCGATGTTTAAACAAGGGAAGACCGTGCCTAAAACTTGTCTGCTTTGCGTCGCCGTTAGCTTATTTATCTGCATCAAATGTCTGTGGGACAACACGTCTATTTATAAAATGTCTTATCGCAAGTTTGCCACATTCATTTAAAATGTCATGCCTCGCCAGTGATATATTTATTTATAATTTTGTGCTTATGCTTAAGTAGTATGGGATGTGCTAAAAATTCCACTTGTATTGGTTTTATTGAAGTAAATCATTTAAACATCAAGACACATCGAAATATATTCTCTAAACCCTTCATAGGACAAGTGTGTTACAAAATGGATGGATTAAAGGACTGCGCTTCTTGAATAATTCCCCTGCCTACCCCAACGTCATATGTGTCGGTTAAATGCATTAGCTACCCAAACTCCTCCTTTGGAAAAGGTCGACCTGAGATGCACTTACCTTTGTGTGAGCCACACAATGGCTGGAATGACTGCAGCCCAAAAGCTGGTGCTTTGTGTGGATGGTATTTTCCAGGAACACCATCTTGCCACCTGCTTCAAAGTGCTCAGGGAATCTTTTTCCCATTGGCATGTTGGCTCAGTGGGTAGCACTGGTGCCTCACACCTGCAGGGTTGGGGGTTCAATGTGCACGTGTGCTCTGTGTTGTGGAGATGAATGTTCTCCTCGTGTTGCACAAGTTTCCTCCAGATACTTTGGATTCCTCCTGCAGTCCAAAGACTTACAGACATTTCTGAATTCTTCATAGCGCATGTTTTGCCATGGAATGCAACGACATCCTATCCAGGAAGTATCCCGGCCTTGTATTTAAGGAGGGGTCCATTTAATGGTCTTGATAAAATAAATGCAGTACCCTGAGAAATGTGTGTTCGAGAATGTTTCTGAGATTTCTTAATCTAACATAACAATGTCCAAAGACCCTTGACTTGGTCATCTTCCCCTCTCCCCAAAGAAAAAAGCAATGAAGAGCCCTAACGCCTCACCCCCCCTGCACGTGCACGTGATGGAGAGCACCCCCGTGCACGTCCACGTGAAGAAGAGCCAGAAGAGCAGGCCAAAGAAGACAGGCCAGGTTAGGTGTTCAGACGAGCTCTGAAAATGACCAGCAGCAGTTAAATTACGAGGCTGACACACTTTTCTCCTCTGTAGCTGAAACCGAAGGCAGAGACATTAAGCTTGCGACCGACAGCCCGTGTGAAGGCACGGGCCCCGTGGATTCCCCCCGGAAGGACCTCTGTTCGGGACATCTCGTACAAGTGGGAGGTCAGTGAAAAGCTCTTCAAGAAAAGCTTTACATCTAACCACTTTCCTTTATGCTTTGAATATGCTTTGCATATTGGTATCAGTAAAAGTTTGCATCTTAAAATATAGTCTGTACTTGCTGACTGTTTTTTTTTTTTTTTGTTATTTGCTTTTTTCTGAGTGTAGTTCAGTGGATTGTGTCAGAATACGTCATCCTGCTTGAATTTTATTGGACTACTTCATTATTAAATTAGTGCCATGGAGTATTTAGTTAATGTAATTGTTTGCAGAAAGAAGGATACTGTCTAGACTTTGGTGGGACATTTCCACTCACCCACTTTAGTGTCTTGGCTGGACAGAAGAGCACTTTCAGCCACAGACTGATCAACATAAAATGCATCACAGAATGCATAAAGAAATTATTCCTCCTGACAGCCATAAGATTGTACAATTGATTGATCGATCAATCAGTCAATTAATCAATCATCCAATCAGGACATGTTCTATAATATGTAGAATGATATCTGCTTATTATGTTTGAGTGAAATATTTACCATGCTAATCACTATAATCGCCCACCTAATTATTTATGATCTCTATATGTCATATTTATTTATTTTTATACAGAGATTGTTGTATGTGATACCATCTCTTTTTGTCTTGTTGTCTGGTTGGGTAATATGCAGTTTTACAAACAATTTCCTTTGTCACTTTTCAGTATTCTTATCCTGTACAGATTTTCATTTCCTGGGAGCTGAGCAGCCAATCAGAATCCTCCCTGAGTGAACCTGTGGACACTTACGCCTGATATCTGTGTTTAAGGGGCCCACTCACCGGCTGGAGATCACACCCTTGCCGCAGCCAAACCCCTCACCCGGGCCACTGAGACCAGAGGACTTGTCCACCGATGAAGAGGAGGTGCTGCACGGACGCATCAGTCAGTACGAGAGGAAGATTGACAGCCTGATGTCGGAGGTCAGCTCGCTGAAGAATGAGGTTGGTGCATGGACCCTGATCACCAAATCGATGTACACTCTGTCCGTGATTTGGGCAAGTGGTATGGTAACTGTCTGGTGGGATTGCATGGGTCCCAGCTAGAGCTGCGGAAGAAGGAACAGCTCCTAGAGCGCCAGTCGGAACATCTGTGTGCCTCACAGCGAGTCATCGAGGAGCAGGAAGAGGTGCTGGCCGAGGCGGCTAAGGAGCTGGAGGTCACAGAACTGGAGAACTCCCGCCTCCGGCAGTCCATGGAGAAGATGCAGGAGCAGAGCGACTGCACTAGGTGATGAGGGATGCCCGGTTGTGCACTAGGTGATGCGGGATGCCCGGGTGGGCACTAGGCGATGAGGGATGCCCGGGTGGGCACTAGGCGATGAGGGATGCCCGGGTGGGCACTAGGCGATGAGGGATGCCCGGGTGGCATG